GGGGAGGGGGCAGCAGGGGGCAGCTGGGGACACAGGAGGGGCTGGCCTTGGGTCAGCCCACACCTCTCTCCTCACTCCACTGCCAGTAAACGGAGACACAGGTGGGGGTCTTGGCATGCGATATGACCCTTCTTCTCCAGGCCTTCTCCCCATTTCCTGGGAGGAGGGTCTGTTTGCTGGCACATCCAAACTCCCCAACTCCCTCAGCGCCAGCGGGCTGGGTGGAGCCGGCCCTGCTCACCTCCCCTTTGCAGGGGGGCAAAGGCTCTGAGGCACATGGAGCTTCAAGCACACGGGGAGCCCCGGGGTTCACCCTCTGTGGTCCCCAGTTTGTTTGAAGCTCCATCTGCCTCAGAGCCTTTGCCCCTCTGCTCCCCAGGGTTGAGGCTCCCTTCCCGTCCCCTCCCATCAACTCCCCTCACCTTAGGTGTGGCTTCCCCAGGGCCCCAGCCAGCTCAGCCCCTGCCCTGGTTGTGACAGTCTGTGGCCAGCGCTATGGTTTCCCTGTCGAGTCACTGCACCCCGTGGGGCAGCCACCTGTCCGCAGCCGCTCCCCTGTAGGACTCGGCGCTGCCTGTGCCAGGCACTGGTCGGGCCCAGCTCATGGGGAAGGCAGCACTGCCGTCCTGCTCCGGCCAGGACCTGTGTTCGGGGACAGCGCAGTGGCTGAAGGTGGGAACCAGGAGCAGTGACCAAGGTCTCGAACACCCCCACCGCAGCAGCCCCTCAGACTGCACCTCCAAGGCCCCTCTGGGCAAGCCAGGGACAGAAACCACGTCTCAGGCTTCGGGACAAGCTGCCAGGCTGGCTGCCCTGCTTTGGGCTCAGGGGCCTTGTGCTGCTGCATGCGTGTTTGGCCCTGGTCAGGCGGACTCGCAGGTGCGGGAGACGATTGTCCCAGCCTCTGCGCTCCCAGAGCAGCCTCACACGCCATGCCCAAGCTTCCTGAGGCAAAGCCTGAGGGAGGTTCTTCCCTTTGTCTGACTTGAGTCCCTCTTGCTGTCGTTCTTGTTCTGACTTGGGTGGAAATGGGGAGAGGTCCCTTCTGGGGTTTCAAGCAACTGGAGGATCTGGGGCTAGAGGGGGGCCCCAAACAGCACAGACAACTGGGGCATCACCTGAACTTTGGGATGGCTTCCAGCCACTCCTCTGCCTGGCCACCCTACACATAGTCTCTGGGTTATGTTTTTTTTTTTGAGACAGAGTCTCACTCTGTTGCCAGGTGCCAGGCGGGAGTGCAGTGGCACAATTTCGGCTCACTGCAACCTCTGTCTCCCGGGTTCAAGCAATTTTCCTGCCTCAGCCTCCTGGTAGCTGGGACTACAGGCGCACACCACCACGCCCAGCTAATTTTTGTATTTTTAGTAGAGACAGAGTTTCACCATGTTGGCCAGGATGGTCTTGATCTCTTGACCTCGTGATCCGCCTGCCTCGGCCTCCCGAAGTGCTGGGATTACAAGT